ATTATTATTATTATTATTATTATTATTATTATTATTATTATTATTATTATTATTAAAAACTTTGTAGTGTGATTGTGATTGTGGTGTTTGGGGCACTGTGCTGGAGTAGCTTTCAAATTTCATTGTATTTGTGGAATGCAATGACAAGAAAGGTATTCTATGCTGAATCATTGCAAGACTTGGGTGCGTCTGGTCTAACAAAGAGAAGGACTCATGATAGCAGTCTTCCAATGTTTGAGAGGCTATCACAAGGAGGGATCAATTTATTCTCCAAAGCAGGACAAAGTAGTAATAGTTCTAGACTGGATCTCTCTTTAATAATCTAAGGATAAATTGACAATGAGAACAATTAACCAGTGAAACAACTGGAACCCTCCAGACATTGTGGGTGCTCCATCACGGAGGTTTTAAGAAGAGATTGGATATTTGTCTGGCTGCTGCTTGAGGGAGAGGTTAGACTAGAAGCCCTTCAAGGTCTCTTCCAACTGTTACTCTTAGATCTGTCATCTAAATGCTGCATTTCTTCTTTCTTTCCCCCTTTTCAGGAGTCAAGCAGAAAGCCAGTTACATCACACCAGTCCCTGGTGGGGTCGGCCCCATGACGGTTGCTATGCTCATGAAAAACACCATCATTGCTGCCAAGAAAATGCTCAGAGCCCAGCATCTTGAAACTTTCAGTGCTTGATGATGGACTTCTTGTGGCCAAAAATGACATTCCAGATTGCCTCCCTAGAAGCAATGCAGTATTTATTTATTTGATGAAATGTTTTGGCCAGCTGCTCTGCAATATTTATATAAAGCAATTTTCCTCCAAGGCAGAGTAGCTCCTGCCAGTCATATACATGATTCCTACTTTTAAACTGCTATTCTGAAATGCAGAAAATGAGAACACAACTTGAGTGAGAAAGTTGAATCTTCACTCTTCAGGCAGCCTGAAAGAATAAGAAAGGGCCAAAAATGTGTTTTATAGTATGCTAATGTTTTAGCATATGCTTGAACTGACTAAGCTTGGCTGAACCCAGGATGTAAGTTATTTGTTAGGATTATAATGCAGCTAATCTGGAGTCAAAAGTTACTATTTTCTACAAAGCCATATTTATATTTAATAATGCCGAGCAAAGCAGTTAATAGCCTGTTCAATACTCAATTTTTTCCTGTTTTAAAGGAAGAATTGGCTTGAAAGCTAGATAATGCTTAAACCAAATAAGGTGAGCTCTCCATGCTTATTCCAACTTGCTTTGTGTTTATCTGAGCAAGTAGTAATATTGCAGGATGTATCTGAATAAAAATAATTGTTACTTACTTGTAAAGTCTTTTGAGTTCCATCATATATTTTGTCAGACTGAATTTAGCTGTGGCATGGCTGGCAGTCTGGGAGAAAGTGCCAGCTTTTCCTGTCCGACAGTGCAGGTTCCCTCTGCCGCGAGGGTAATCCTCCCCTGGATGGACTAAAGATACGCTTCGGTTTTATGCAGCTGCCCAACCCAGTCTAGGGATATTCCAGTCCATGTGTCTGGGTAGCACCCAGGCTGAAGGAGGCTACAGCTGTGAATAAGACGCCCTGTCACATGCCACGCCGACTGCTGCTCCGGTAACCAGGAATAAGGAACATGTACCTATCTATCCAGGGGCTGCAGAACCAGCTGTGCGTTTCCTTGTGGCCAAATTAATGGATTTTTCTGCCATCCTGGGATTGGCAGAAAAGTGTGCCAGCATAATTTGTTGTCCCCTTCCCAAAGCCAGGCAATATTTGCCTCCTTGTGGGAGTTTCAGGATAGAAACTGCTGGATTCTTTTCAGTGTTCTCCTTTGAACAAGTGACTCCAGGGTTCCTTTTGTCCTGCACCCTTTGGCTTCACTGGCTGCAGAAACGAAATTTTCTTTTGTCTGGCTTGATTTTTATTTTTTTAATGGAAACCCGGGCTGTCAATTGGTGCAGAGATGGTACATGCAGCATGGACATGGACATACATGTCCTCCCTCAGGCGTCCCACCGAATGTTATGTTGAGGTGACTGGTTTGTGCAGCCCCTCAGCAGCTCAACCCAAAGTGGGCATTGGTGGCAAGATGTGGAATGCTGGTACTGTGGACAGTTCATTGTTTTTCTCTGTTTGGTACACTTGCTTCACTGATCCTTGCTCCAGCACATCCCTGTGTTGAGAACACTTATGTGCATGGAAGACCAACCTCCAGAGGAAAATAAGTTTGATTAAATATCATGTTGATATTGATTCTTAGTAATTACATAGTATGTTCTAGTCTTTCTCTAGTATTATCTTATTTAATCTAGAAATCTCTTAGTGGTGCATTCATTGCTGTTGCAATTGAATCCATTCACTTGCTGCTTGTCCTCTCTACAAAAGCTTTAGGATTCAAGGGCTCGCATTTGGTAATTCGGGCTGGTCGTTTGTGCCTCAGTGAGAACGGAATGATTTGTTCAAGTTGTTTATTTTCCTTGCTATCATAGCATTCTCAAGAGTCTTAACATCATCTAAAATTATCGATGTTTTATCTATCCCACTTCTTCAAAGTCCAACATTTGCTTTTATGCTATGTCATAAGAAAAATGCATATCTTCACATTTATTAAAAGCTGTAATTGGGGTTCATTCGGTTTCCTCATAAGATTATGGTGCCAGCTGTTTTGCCGCTAATGCTGTGTTGCCATTATGGTGGCAAGGATGGTCACCATGGTGTCAATGCAACAAGTTTCTACTGGGTGATAGATGGCTTGTCATCAGGCCCATTTTGAAAAAGAGTGAAATAGGGTTTTGGTTAAAGAGGACAGCAACAGTAAACTTACATTTTCTTTCCTGGTTTAGATTTTGCCCCATAGGTAACTGCCCCACTGAGGCATTCAGAGAGTGCGGGATGGAAAACCAGCCCAATGTTTTCAACACAGCTGGGGTGTTTTTGGTTTTTTTGTTTTTGTTTCAGAAAAGCACAGATCAATTCTTCTATCCATTTGGTGGGAGTGGGTGAATAGAATGGGAGTGTTCCACCCATTTTCTCAAATTGGAGCTTGGGATTGACGCCTGCTTGGTTACTTACAAATTTAGGTTTAGTCAAAAGGCGTCTGCAAAAGAAGTGAGAAATCAGAGGGGAGATTTTTATGGCTCCTTGGATTAAATGCTCATCTACTTGCTCAACTGAATTCCAGGCTACTGCAACACAAAAGTTCAACTTGCTAACAAATGCCGGAAACATCTCATCACAATGTTCAACACGTATGCAATCTGATAAGCTAAAATTGTTTTCAGTCTAAGGAATTCCTGTGCCCTCATAGACTTGCATCCTGGACTGCCTTTCCCACAACGTCTGAGAAGAAGTCTCTGGATTCCTCACTGCTTAAGTTGCACAACTCGTCTAATAACGTTTGTGTCCAATTCTTAAGTGGTGGATAAGGCCCAGGAAGGCCCAGTGACTTCTGGATCAATAATGGGGGGGGAGGGGGGAAAGGCACGTGGAGACTAAAGGGTAGTTTCACTGCCCATGTCCTGTGGGTGATGTCTCTCGGCGTCGGTATCTTCATAATTGGATCCCATTTCTATCTTCACCTGGGGTATGGTACAGACAGGGCTTCGAGAATAGCTAAAGGCAGGAGAAGATGGGCAGGAAATCTTCAAATGAAGTGTAATACTGCAAGAAAGGCAAATAAATTGGAATTAGGAATCTATCTTAATCAAGAAGCTGCAGTCAAGCAATTAAGATCAATACTATTTCTTTGCCCTTTATTTCTCTAACCTGTCAAGCAAAGATGGTGCCACAGCATAGGAATTAAAGCATTTTCTCTCAGTGCCTGAATAGAGTAAGCAATTTTCCAAGTCGGGTCCAGAACTTTCCAAATTAATTTTAAATTCCACTTTACTCTGGGACAGTGTAGTAGGACATTCATCACTTTCTTGCTATTTATATTATACTATCATGTTTCCACTTTTCCTAATGTTCTCAATCTCTCCTTCAGAAAAACAGTGTGGTGTAGTAATTAAAGGTACCAGGGTGGAAACCAGTGGATTCTGTGGATCCCAGTCTTGCTTTGAACCAGTTACTCTTAACAACCTCGGGGAAAAGCAAGGAAAAACCACTTCCTAATTGTGACCAAGAAAACTTACTTTTAAAGCATTAATTTCTAAAAATAGCTATGCTTTACAACATCTCAAAACTAACTTTTTTAAAATTATGCTTTAGTGCATGGTTGTCTGCTTTAATAGAAGGCTGGAGTTGAGTCCTGAAAGAGGAGAATTATACACTACCCAATTGCTAGGATTGGGGCAATGAGGGAAAAGAGAAGAACAGAATGGGGCTAGGTGAAATGATTGCTTTAAAGTGAGCACCCATAAGTCTTCACTGACAGATATCCTTTTACTAAATAGCTAACTAATATACACAAAGTTTATATGCCACACTGGAAGATTTTATCAGCTGAAGACATGCAATTCATTCTGAGAGAAGCCAAACCCAACTATTAGTACATAGATAGCCAGTGTCCACATATTTTGCCAATTGGCAGTTGCACCAAATGTATAACGAAATACTTTAGTACTTTAATTGCAGCCTTTTTGTGATCCAAAGTCAGTTTTTGGCCACCTGAAGATTTCCAGAAATGGTTTGCTTCCTTCTCCTCCTTCCTTGCTGAGAGAGAAGGGCTGGCCCAAGATCCCCCCATGGCTTTGTGCCTAACGTGAGACTAGAACTCACAACATGCCCGTTTCTACCTTGATGCCTTAATTGCTACCCCAGACTGGTACTCAAAGCAAATTACAAAACTTTATACTTTGGGCATAAAAGTAAATTTTAACACACATATATAAATATTTTGAAAAACAAATCGGAGAACTAGTTTGGTGCAGTAGACATTAAGCTAGAAACTGGGAAACTGCAAGTTTTCATCCAAGAGAATCAGATTGTGAAAAGCACAATCAGCACCGACTTGAAGACACAAAAAGCATAAAACTAAATAAAGATTGTCGATATAAACAATGTTATTGCAAAACAAATTTCTATAACTTAAGTAATAACTAAAGACAATATTGTTGATAGTTTTTAGCATCCTTCTGCTTCTGCTAAGGAAGCGAGATTCATAAAGGTAAGATTCAAAGTCTCAGTTTGACAATCGTTGCTGAGTCAAAACTTCAAAAAATGTTTGAATCCCTCTAGGTTAGTAATTTAAGAACCCCCATTTTAAGCTAAACATAGTTGACAAACAACATAACTGATTGCTTTTACTGTAAATTTTTTAATACCTACAAACCTCTTGGTAAATTTGAGAGTTGTAAAATTAAAACCAATGCAAACTCAGTGAAATCCATTGATTACCTGTGATCTGGATCAGAATCGTTAGGGGAGGAATCAGAATGCAAAGCTCCAGCTGGAAGCTTCTTCTCCTGGAGAGAAACATAAGACGCACGTGAAGCTGTTCCAAGGCAAGGAAGAACAAAACGGTCAGGGAAGAGGTGAGATGAGAAGAAAAGAGAAGGCTGGAAAAGGCAAAACCACTTCGCCACAAACTTCCTTTTCCTGGATCCTCTCTGTCACTCAGAAGGAAGATTTGAAGGGAAAGGAAATTAATCCGTGGCTGCACAAAAGCTTACATCAACCAAGACCATGCCCAAAGCCTGGAAAATCAGCAGCCCGAGACTCTCAGGAGGTGATGATGTCTTGAAAGAGGAAAGACAGCAAGGATTGAAACACAGGGGAACAGCGGCATAACTCTCAGGCTCAGTCCAATCCTTTGAGCTTTCTTCCTTTCATTAACTGGCCTAGGGCACATCCACTTGAATGTTCTCATTAGGGGCCGTACTGGAACAGCTGGAACCAGCAGCATCTGCATCAAACTGCAGTGCTGCCAAAATGACAACATGCAATGAAACAAACACCTGGTACAAACACATAAATTGGCACATTTTTGAATGCCTTTGACCAGAGGGTCTTTCGTTTTCAACTCTCCCATGGTTTTCCCTAAGATTTGTGTGACTCATCATTGGGTAGAAGTTTTCAATATTTGAACCTGATTGGAAGGTGTATCACACAAAGGATTTACAGGAACCTGCACCAGGGGTGGGATTCTACCAATTCGAGCCTATTCTCTAGAACCTTTTGTTAACATTCTAAGCAGTTCGGAGAACCGGTTGTTAGAAGAAATTACTGGCCTAATCCTGTAAGGAAGGCAGGAAGGAAACATTCTGGTATTGCTTACAGAACTGCCTCTCCGTTAACCCTTATTACATTCTTGGCAGGACTAGACTTCCTGTCTCAGGAACTTCTCTGGAGTTTTTTTCCCCCTCCTTTGCTGGTACTTAGTTTGTGTGGAGTGACCATTTAAAGTCACAATGGCACTGAAAAAAGTGACTTATGACCATTCTTCACACTTACGCACCATCCCCACAGTCATGAGGCCAGGCGAGGAGATGCGTGTCTCAATGTGAGTGATATTGAGTTGGCCACACCCAGCCAATAACATGACCCCCAAGCCATGTCCACCCAGTCACATGACTAAGTCACACCCATCACTTAAGCCAAGCCCACAGAACCAGATGTTAAAATTTTTGAATCCCACCCCTGACCTGCATGCTGCCAACCCATTAGAAAACAAATTGGAATAGGTTAGTTCTAGTATTGCTCTAAATCATATGTCACATAGAAGCAAGTTAGGGTTAAGGTTATGAATAAACATCAACTACCAACTAGCTGAGTTAGTAATAAAGAATGCAGCCTTTGGGGGCCAAATGCATCAGTGAATATATCTGCAGGAGAGTCTCCAAGCCAGCACAGTTTGACTCTGGTTCCATGATTCTTGTGTGGAGAACAAATTTCCCGAATTTGTTAATGGTTGTGTTAGCAGTTAATTTAGCATCTTGTTAAAACTTGAGTGTCTTACTTACTGGAAATACAATGGCTACTGTTTGGGGGTTGAGGCAAGGCAGGTTCCCGTGGGACTGCTATAGTAGAGGGAAACCTGGGCTGGGGAAAAAGAAAGGGGAAAAGACAATGATCAACTCCGTGGATGGGCAGATTCACCTGGGGCCAGATCCTTGGCTTCAGAAGCAGAGGCCAAGATTGGTAGGCCAAGTGGAAGATGACCATGCAGTTGCCTAGTCCAAATACCTTCTGGAATGAATTCAAGGATTGTATGATTTAAGCTATTTTATCCGGTATGTGAGTACCACACACTTAATGAAAATATGCATTATGAATACATGAAAATGATACAGTAATTGCTAAATAAAGTGAAAGGTAATGTCTCCTTTGAGTCAGAATGGGTGGGTCCATGTTGTTTTCTGCTAAGAATTTTGTTGTGGCTTTCTTCCAGGACCGCCCCCACCCCCCACCCCCGATTTTCTTGTGGTCTCTTTTCCAAATGCTAACCAGGATTGACCCTCCTTAGCATTTTCAAGATTAGCTGAAGAGGGTTGCATGCCACTGTCTTGCTCTGACAAGTCAAAGTGCAGGGTAATTGCAAAAACAAATACCGGTTGCAGTTTCTTTGAAACAAATGCATTCTCCAAAACATTTAAAATGCAAACCGGGACATATAATCTTCACAGGAGAGAAGCAAGAAGTGGAGTTTCAATTCCTTTGGCCAAGACACCAGCCTGCTCACCCTTTTGGAATACTGTGAGGCACATTCCGCCCTTCCTTTAGGACACTCGTCTCCAGCCCCGGCGGGGGTGGAGGAGAGGAAATGGTTCCGTGGGAGGGGCCGGTGTGTGAGCCCGCAGCTCCATTTGCACAAGCGACAGGCACTCGTGCATGTGCATGGAGCCCCACTTGAGCACAAACGGAATGTCACACACACCTGCGAGTGCCCACCACTCGCGCACATAGAGCTGCGCCTGAGCACTTGGCAGCTGCTTGCACAGCACAGTACCAGGTCACAGCCCAAGGGATGGGGACCCCTGCTCTGGGACTCAAAATGGCACAAATGTTCTGCCCCCCCGACACACTTCGCTTGCTGGGCAGGTTGGCAGTCTTTCTATTACCTGTAGATTGTGCACTCTTGCCTAGAGTCACCCCCTCCCTCCCCAGGGTTTCTAACACACCTCCTTTGGGTGCTCTTCCTCCTCCTCCTCCTCAGGTCTTTGGCCTTTCTTTTTCTTTTCTTTCTTCTTGTCATCCACCTTCTCTTTTTCAGGAATAACATTATCAATCCAAGCCAGATCATGCTGGGAAAAGACAAAGTCCAACATCTTCCGGACTAAAATTAAGGCTAAAATCTGGAAATAACATAAAAATAAGTATCTAAGGTCACAAGAGTGAGCCATTTCGGCAAGTCCCTTGGCTAGGCTGCAGCCATTGAGTGCTGGGAAGGAAGGGATTGCGTGATGCACAGAGAAAGGGCCAGATTTATTACACTCTATTCAAAATAAGACTTGAGTTGGCCCGGAAGAGGTTGGACTCTCCCGTGGCCACCACCCTTGGTTATGGTTACATCCCCATATCCAGTTCAAAGGATATGGGTGCTTTAGTCTTTCATTCTTAACAAGTTTCAGAAGAAGTTCACCCGTGGTAGGCAGCTCAAAAGGAGCTTGACGCACCTTTTCTGGCTAAGAGGTTTTATGAAAAGGCACAGACTTTTCATGAGCTGCAGCTAATGATATCTAACAAATGGAGGAAATGGTTTTGTGTGAGCAGCAGGTGTGCATGCTCACACCCATACCTCCACTTGTGCAAGCAGCGGGCATTCACACGTGTGCATGAAGCTCCATTTGTGTAAGCAGTGGGTGTGCCCTCGCCTGCCACTTGCACCACCAATTGATTGAGAACGGACCATGGGCCATTATCGGGCTACAGCCCAGGGTTGGGGCCCCCTGCTCTGCAAGAAAGCTGAGCTTTGCATTGCATCCCATTGCATCACCTCAGCCAGGCTCCTCTGCAAAAAACAGGCAGGAAAGTTGGATGCTGCTGAGCCTGGAATTGGGTGAAGTCCCTTGGGGTTGCTGGATGGGAAGTGGGCCTCGGCTTGCAGGCTGTAACTGCCCTCCATGTGCTGCTAACTTCTGCTGGCCAGCTTTGGAGCAGGCCAAGGCCCGGAGAACCTGGTGGGATTGCGGGAGGAGACGCTGCAGTCTCCCTGCAGTTGGCCAGGAAGCCAAAGAAGGGCAGAGCCATTTCAGCAGCTGTAACTTTGAAAGTGGGTGGCAAGTACCTTTTGGAGGATCTGTTGAAACTTCAGTCGCTAAGCAACCAGTCGTAAGTTTAGGGTCACCTCTACTGGACATTTATAAGCCATATTTTGTAAGGCTAATGATTTTTACAGGTGGATCCTTAATGTGTCCAGAGTTTCTCAAGCGGGCTTTAGGGTCCACGCAGCCCACTGTTTGTCAGCCCTAAGGGCAGTCGTCCTATCTGCAAAAGAGCTCTTGTTTTGTTTTGCTCTACTGTGTTTAATTGAGAGTGGGAGACCTTTAATCACGTCAGAATCATAACAGGTCCTGGACCAGGAGTGGAGAGAAGCCAGTTCTGGTCCTCCTTTAGGTCCACCGGGTGACGCTGGGCCAGTCCCTCCTCCCCAACCCCAGGGCTGGGGATGAAGGTGCCTTAGAGCCCAAGTGGACTCTGAGCGGACTCAACTACAGGCGCTGCCTTCCTCTTTCTCAGCCCTAGGCCCGGAAGTAGGACCAACCTGCCTTGGTCCTACTGGCACCCACGACCTCCAATCCTGTGTCAGGCTGCTGCTGACCGATCGAAGAGTGGATCACCGCCAAAGAACATATTGTTTGGACCAAGGCTTGTAAGTGGCCCCAGAGCAAGTTTTGATATGATACGGAGGTGCCTACCATCACAGGGAAGATAATGGCTGCCACCGTGGATTTCAGGATCCAGAGAATGGCCAAGCAGATAATCTGAGTGGTAGTGAACAAATGGATTTTTCGAAGGGGCACATGACGCAGGTAGGCATAATCTGGTTGGTGCTTGGCCGGCATCAAGAAGAGTTTGCAGCGCTCCCAAAACTATTAAAAAACAATGAAATATTAATACTGGTTGCCAGGAAAAGGCACTGAAAAGAAGTAGAAGCAGATGCTATTGCCAACTGCCCCTAAGAATGTGTATTAAAACAGGATTTTTACCATAAATATCCCAAGGCTTAAAAAGTCAAGATGGCA